GTGTATGCATGTGTGTGTTGTGTATGCATGTGTGTGTTGTGTATGCATGTGTGTGTTGTGTATGCATGTGTGTGTTGTGTATGCATGTGTGTGTTGTGTATGCATGTGTGTGTTGTGTATGCATGTGTGTGTTGTGTATGCATGTGTGTGCGTGTACATGTGTGTGTAGTAACGGCATTTCATTTGTTTTCTCTCCTTGCAGCAAGCGCGCGCTGAAGCAAGTGAAACAAAGAGGAAGCACAACAACTACATACAGCGAAAAGAAAGCCAAGGCGGCGCTATGTCCATCTAGCCACTAGAGATGATGATAGATGACAGTTATCGGTCGGGGTGCCATCTAGCTATCCAAAAGGGAGGGGCGAAAATTGAAGTTGCTACGCTTCAAGCTTGACACGCGCATACGTAGGCAAAACAAAATCCAAAAGGCAATAACAAAAACTACAACGTAACAATGAAGCGCCAATGGCAAAGTCAGTGAAATAAATGTACAACTTCATACGACTCCACTACTCTCTGCAAAAGCAAAACAAAAGAAATATACAAAAATGTACAACAACAACAATAGCTACACTGTTATACAGTATAATGGCAGAGCCCACACTGGGCCAACACCAGTGATGGCAGCCAATGATCCCCACTAAGTAAATAAACATCAATCCAGCTGCATGACATTATGCTAGCTAATAATATAAACATTGAATTTTTATACATTTTAATATATCTTATACATTGTATGTGTATATGTATATGTATGTATGTATGTATTTACATGTGTGTATAATGGGCATGTTCGAATTCCGAAATATCGATAGGCTGTTACACATATGTACACAGTGCAGCATACACAGCTAAATATATGTACATATGTATGTGTGTGCATGCATAGCAACCACTTCAGGCATGCCGTCTATTCCTGCAGGGCACGCAGCCGAAGCCTTGAGAGAGCGGAGAATGGAGAGCGCAGAGCGCCAAAGAGCGTAAAAATTGCATACGAAAAGAAAGGCAGCAGCAGCAGCAGCGGCAGTGGGCAGCGACAGCAATAGCTGTTAATGATCACCAATGCATACATACATACATACATATGCAATCACCAATTGTGCTCAATAATTGAAACGTATTTCAAGATCAGCTCGTCTTTAGCTACGAAATTCTTTCGTAATATTGTATTTTGTGAGTGTTAAAAAAGTTTTAATAACTCTTTGGACTCTGCATGGCTAAAAATAATTATACGCACACACACATACACATTAACATACTAATGTCGCTTCTCGTTTGTGTGTGTGTGTTTGCAAAGTCTGAAGGTTTTGGTTGCGTTTTGTGCTGTTGATGTTGGCATGCGCTGGCTTTGGCTTGTGGTATTGTGTGCATGTATGTGTGTATGTATATATATATATGTATATGGCGACTCTAGAGGTGCACTAACAACAACAACAACAGCAACGTTGCTTGCTATCATCGCAGTCGCTACTCTCAGTTGCTGCTGCTGTTGCTGTTATGGTTGCTTTTTGTTGCAAGTGGAACGTGATTATTTCAACGAGCGCAACGTTTTTTAGCACACACACAGACACGGTGTGTATGTGTATAGCTATATGTGTGTGTATTTCTACAGCTTGCTTTGATTTCTTTTGGTTTTTTGTTGCTGCTGCTGCTGCTGCTGCTGCTCGCGCTATCTGCGAAGGTTGTTTCCCGCTGTATTTGGGTGCGCGCGTGTTGTTTTTATTTTTGCTTTTGTTTTTGTTTTTGTTGTGTTTTAAGCGTTTTTCTTTTCTTATGTCTTTTCTGTTCCTGTCTTTATGGTTTTTTGGTTTTTATTCTTTTGTTGTTACGCTGATTGACATCAATAACTGCCGATTATTGACTATCATGCATATGCGATAATTATGATTAACGATTAACGATATATTTATGCCAAATTGTTATCGCATTTGAAATGCATATACGTATGTACATATGCATAACTATTCAAACTACCTAAAGTAGAGTTTACTATCAAAGTGCATAGAATATGTCGATGCATGTATGTGTGTGTGTACGTATGCCATACATCAATGTATGTATGTATTTATGCTATTCGAGCATACTACACTAGAATATACTCTTATTGTTGCTGTTATTGCCTCTCATCTTTACTCGCTGCTGCTGCATACACACGCCCTTCTTTACAAAGCCAGACAAACGGACAGGCAGTCAGACAAACAGTCAGACGATTTTAGTTGGCTCGCCTTCTGCTGCTGCTGCTGCTGCTGGCTGTGTTTTCTCTCTCCTTCTCCCTCTACATAAATCTCTCTCGCTCACTCTTTTCTAGTTGCTGCCTCCTCTGCGCGCTGCCGTTTTTCGTTTCGTTTTGTATTTTGTGTCGTTTCTGTTTGAACTGTTTGCCGTTGTTGTTGTTGTTGTTGTTATTGTTTAATGTCTCTTGAGTATCTGCTTTGGTTTGCTTTGCTGTGCTTCGTTTTGCTTTGCGCTTGGCCTGAATGCAACAGAAAATAAATAAATAAAAGAAATACTGTGCACGTTCGCTATAATGAACTAATTGTAGTCAAGTTGGTTTTTCCCCCATTCGCCTTCCGCCTCTGCCCCAACATCCCCTTCTACTCGCACACAATCGCTTTCACAAAAAAAAATTAATAATAATGAAACATAGAAAACATAGAAATTCCGTCTGTCCGCATATTTATCGTTCATTTTAACGACAGCCCACTGTACGCTTATTGTGTGGCCTGCAGCTGTAGTTGTAAGCCTGCAGGAAGCGACAGCGGCGACTAGTTGCGGTTGGCACTGACCACAGCCTAAAGACGGAAATATCCTTGCGAACGCGCGTCAAGTTACACAGCAAATAAAACTGAACGAAAGACAGAGCGTTGCCATGCAGGCCAATAAAAAAAAATAATAAAAAACACCAACCAGCGACAGAGAAGCTGCATTAAACCCAAACAACATTTCCAATGATCACTTGAGGCAGATTATAACAACAAACAGAGGCAGAAATAGAAATAGAACTAGAGGCATACATACATACATATATGTACATATGTATATGCATGCACATTCTGAAAGTGTTATATTTGTTTGTTGTTATACATATGTATGTATATTTAGCACACTTCCACTATTTTGAGTAATCGCCTTATGTCTTACGCTCGTTCATCGCCGCCGTCGCCCGCGCTATTTCTCGCTAGATACGCACTTTGGCCTTTCGCTAATTGCGAAGGTTGCCACACGCTCACGCACAAGCTTGAAAGGGCAATCGAGCGAACGAACACGCGTGGGCAACATCGCGAGCCAGCGTTGCCAATTGAGTTTTTTTTTATTTTAAAATTTAAATGTGTATATGCATATGTATATACATATACATATATATGAATATATATTAAATATTTAATTCATATTCATAAATTAACATATACATATTTTCAATTAATTTGCAGCTCAAATTGGATTTAAGTCAACTTTAGTTAATTTTCTTAGACTAAAAGAGTATTGCTAAGTCGCCATGTTTTAATTGCTTTTCAAGCAACTTTATCTAGTTTTAGAGTTTTTTTTTGTCTCTTTTTTGTTTTTGGCAAAAGCTGGCACCACTGGCTGCCTCTTACAATTTATAATCAGACACACATAAATGCACACACACACACACTCACACACATACATACATATGCAGTTATACATGTGCATGCATGCATGCATGTGTCTGTGCACAGTTGTATTTCTATCTCGTTCGTTTACTCACTTTGGCAAATTCTGCAGGTAACGCATTTGCTTCTCACGTCTCAGCTCATCGGTAAGTCGGCAATAGGTGTTATTGATGCAGACGCTGCGGCGCAGATTCGCTTCAGAGTCCTTGATACGTTCTAGCTTGTGGGCGCACAGTTGCAGGATGCGTTTACGTTCCTCACGCTGACGCAGCTTCGGCGAGATCATTGGCACGCGCGAACGATGATGGTGATAACCAATGGGGGGTGAGCAGCGTGGCGGTCCGAACATGTCCGAATCATCATCACTGCCGCTGCCATTGCCGCCGCTGCCGCCGCCGCAGCCGTTGCCATTCGCTGCATTTGTATTGGTTGGCAAGGTCATTGTGCGATGTGTCTGTGTCTGTAACTCCGACTGTGACTGTATGTGTGTGTGCGTGAGCGACTGCAAGTGTGTGCGTATGAATCGCATTCAAAGCTTCGCTTGCGGACTGTTTAAGTCTCTCTCTTCTTTGAACTATTTGCTGCTGCTTCTTCTTCTTCTTATTTTTCTTTTTCTTGTTTCTTCCCACTGCACACAGAAGGTAAACCGCAAGTGTTTATTTAAGTAATAAATTATATTGAGAAAAACAAAATAATTTTTTTTTTTTTTGTAATTTTTTGTTGTATGTGCTTTGCTGTAGTGTGAAATGTACACAAGCTGCTTCGAATTGTTGACTTTCGATAGGAAGCAGTCTAATTCGTTTTTGTTTTTTATTTTTCCTTTGCAAATTACAACACGCTCATGTATAGGGGAGTGTGCGTGTGTGTATGCTGCTGCTGGCGTCGCTGCTGCTGCGCTGGTGCTGCGTGAGATTTCACTTTGCTTTTGCTGTTTGTTTTGTTTGTATGCGTGCGTGTGTGGCCCGTTATGTCTCGTTAACTTTGCATTAATTCGCACGCTTCGTCTTTTTGTTGTATTGGCTTATGCTTTTGTTTTTGCATTTGTTTTACTTCTGGTATAAAAATTCAAAATAATCCAGGACTTTTGAATTTATTCGAGCGCACAAAACTCAACAAAAATAATTCAAAAAAATTTTCAAAAAAAAAAAAAAAATCAAACAACTGTGTTATTCTATTATTAACTGTTCAATTAGGCACTCAGTGTTGACAATTACAATTCAAGTTTGGCAGCCTTTTATTAATTTTTTCTTTTTATTATTTATGTTAAGTAATTTGTTATTGTTTGTATTTGGATTCTTTTTCTTTGAACACGCGGCTTCCTTAGGCGGTGGGCAGTGCAAGTGCAGTTTGGAGGGCTGAATGGGGGTCGCGGTTTAAACAGGAGCGACGCACACAAAGTCAAAAGAGATTGAGAGAGAGAGAGGCACAAGTCTTTGACTAATTGTTTGATTTGTTGTTTTTATTAAGTGGTTTTGTTGCTTTATTATTATTATTATTTATTAACTATTCTCCTTTTTTTTGTGAAAATTATAGGCGCCTGTTGAGGTTGCGTGAATTAGTAAAAGACAGAGAGTGTGAGAAAGAGAGCGCGCGGAACGTGTAAGTTGGGGAGCGCGTGGTTTTTGTTGTTGCGTTACTTGTGTTACTAGGCCGAACTTTGCCGCTGCCGCTTGCACGTCCGCACAGTTCTCGCGTTCGATGTGAACTGAAAATTGAATGAATGAAGCGCACGGGCTTTGGCTGGCTGGCTGGCATCAGCACCGACAGCGACAGCAGCAGCGGCAGTGGCAGAGGCAGCGGCTGTTTTATTTGCCTGCCAGCGGCGACGTCGTCGTTGGCAGCGCGCACAGATGTTCAAGCTACTTCGGCTCGGTCTCTGGCGGCATCGCAGCCGCACGTACAAACGGAAGTAGCAGCCAGCAGAAACGTCGGCTAACCTAAGCTGAGCCGAGCAGAGTTGAGCAGAGCAGAAGCGCCAGCCTAAGAGCGTAAAGAGAGCGTTGTTATAAAATATAAAGAGCGCAGTGCATGGCGTACGTGCGTGCTGTCTTCTATAAATGTATGAGTGTGTGTTTGTGTGTATGTGTTGGCACGAGAGTCGATGTGATATGCAAGATTTTGGCATTGGGTGTGTGTATGTGTGTGGGGCATTTTCTTAGCGTGTTTTGTTGTTTGTCTGCTGGTTGCCGCTGCCGCTGCCGCTGTCTCTGCTGCCATTTGTAACGGAAGCGAAACGCAAACACACGCGTCGCTAGCTCCAACAGCAAAACAAAGGGCAGCAGGTGGGGGCGGACAGTTGGCGAAAAATTTGAGAGCCTCTTATGTTGTCTTTTGTCGCCTGTCGCTCCGGCGGCTTGGCACGCGCTTCGGCAGACGCTGCGGCCAATGAGCATAAATTTTATAGTTTCCTTTTTGCATACACATACATACATACATACATACATACACATGATATACCCACATACACGCACACCCATAGATGCTTGCATTATTTCTTCTCTTCGGTTTTGCTGTATGTTTTTGTTATTATGTAAAAAGTGACTGGCCTTAAGCGATAGACGCCACAGACCGTTAGCGGCAGCATTTATTAAGTTGCCAGTCAGGCGCATGACAAATGTCGCGGCGACTCTATCAATATACATAATTGGTTCTTGGTTTTGTTTTTTTGGCAAATGCAAAAGCATATGGACTGTTCCCAATATGCAAATTGCATGTGAATGTGTGTGCGCGAGTGTGTAAAAAACTTAAGGTCACTTTTAGCACTCTCTTAACTTATGCCTATGCCTGTGTGTTTGTGTGCTTAACCCGCGTAATCTCTTACAAACACACACACACATATGTACGTATGTACTTGAAGAGAACGTCATGATCATTATGATTATAAAAACAGTTTTTGTTGTTGATATTTTCTTGTTATTAATTGCCGCTGCGTTGGCTTCTAATTCCTTGAAACAATTTTGCTCTTTGCTTGAGCTTCCAAAGAAAGCAAAGAAAATACAAAAAAGCACAAAATGGAATTCAGTGATAAACAATGCAAAATACAATTTTCTTGTTAAGCGCCATGACTCAAAATGTTTTTAACAGTGAATAGAGTGGGCAGCCAAATATTAAAGAAGGAACACAACAGCACAGAGAAATAACTGTATCCTAAAAAACACAAATTATAGCCGCGGTCAGTTTATACAAATGCGTGTATGAATGTATGTACATACATACACACATATGTATGTACTTAACCTAGAAGATTTTCCTTTGGCGCGCATAGAATACATACATCCATATATGTACATATAAGAAGCAAAACAGCAACAAAAACTGTGAACTAACCTCATTTCGTTTTTATTATGATGAGGAACTGCGGCAAAAGCGAAAGAGAGAAAGAGATGTACGGCAATTGTTTTTGTTGTTTTTTTCCTCGACCTTGCAGGCGTATGTACTTATTATCTACATACATACATAAATATGTATGTATAACTCAAACTTTTACTTGCTATGCACAAATACATACACACATGCAAACGCATACACATGCATACGCACTGATGAATAACTGTTTATTTGCAAAAGTAATCATCATTGGAGTGCTACAAATGAACTTATTCGCTTGTAGTTCAATGTCAAATACAGCTACACACAAGCACACACATACATGCATTTATACGTACATATGTATGTATAAACGTGCCCATGTGCATATCCTTTAGCATTGCATTGACCTTTCATGGCCTTCGCTTCTTTCCCTGGCCCCTGTGCTCGTCTCACACTAGCTATCTCGCTCGCACCGATATTTTGTTTCGATTTCGCCGTGCTGCAGCGAACGGCATTCTGTAAAGATAAATTCAAATTACGTAATTAAGCAGGCCTAACAATTAAATATTTATTGCTTTCAATTTGCTGCACGATAAGCCCAAAAGTACAAAACAAAAATCGTAACGCGCGTTCACACACAAACACACAGATGTGGCTGACGCACGCCGAGTTACCAGCAGCAGAAGCAGCGACTGCGACTGCGACGCTTGCTGCGACAGCGACAGCGTAAGCAACTACCTGCGGCCACTGAGCAAAAAGAAATCAACGCGCTTAATTTCAAGATGGTGTTTCAATTTTTAAAATATACGTTTTTACATTTATTTCTTTACTTTTCTGTTATTAATGTTGCTGTATAGGTTCTTAGGATAGGGTGGAGGCATGGCTGAACAACAAAAGCGAACACACAAAAATAAGAAAAGGTGCCGAAACGAAAACGAAAACTGCCCACTGCCAAAGCAGAAGCAGAAGCAAAAAAAGCATGAGCAGCAACAACAACAGCAATGGCGTCGTCAACGTCAACGCATATGCAGCAGCCGACGCTGTCGCGACGTCTGCATTTCTCACACAATTCGCCAAAGTCGCGTTAAAGCCAAACAAAAGCACAAATCCCAAAAGGCAGACGCGCCGCCCCCATGAACTAGTAGGAACTGTTTCCCATACATATGTATGTATGTACATATATACCTAGTATATAAATACAGGCAGACACAGCTGTATCTAAGCTAAAGCTACAGCAACAATTTAATTATCAATAACATATTTAAGTTTCGTTTGCCTCTAACGCCCCGCCATTGCCGCTGGCTAACTGTGTCTGTTTTGTGTTTTCTTTTTTTTGCGCTTGTGTGAGTGTGCTTTTTTTTTTTTTTTTTTTTTT